ACTAGAGAAGAAGAAAAATCAGCTCCTATTAAGGTATCATCATTGTCCTATGTGTTTATTTGGAGTTATTAAAAAACAACGTAATTTACAAACATGTATTTTTTTCATTGCAGGAGATGGAACCAGGTGTGCTTTGGAATATGGGCTAATGGTTCATTTTCTGGGATTGAGGGAAGAAAACCCTGATTCTTTCTAAGGTAAAAAAACAGTGACAAAAATTGAATATCAATGTTTTAAAATGCTCTCGAAAACCTATGTAGCCAATGATTAGCGTGAAGATTATCTGAAATGGGTAGTATATGATGTAAAATGTATCAAGTAAGAAAGAAGAGGAATGATTCACGATTGATGAATGATGAGGATGATTTTAGGAATTAAGTGTATTTTTTTTGTGTGCCAAGTGTATCCTTATAAGTTCATGACACCATACAAAATATAGGGATTATTATATTAGTATGTCTTTTTACAATATAGAGATTTTGATTCGTAGAGGTCTTAAACTATAGTAATAATGAGGAGCTCTGCTAAAAATGTAATTCATTTATTTAGGAAATCGACTCTTACTGGCCTTAAATGCTAAAAAAAAGTAAAATCACCAATATTAGTTTGTATAATCTATTATAAAACACATCCAGCAATATATGTTTAATATGTACGTATTAAATTTAGAATTTTAGAGAACAGATTGAATGTTAAGTATTTATTGGCGACTTTCTTATTAATGCTAAATATGTTCATCACAAAAAGAAAAAAATGAAAAGGGCCAGCTCTCCCTAGATAAGCATTATGTACCCTTGGGTAAAGATATGCAGAACCATTATATTCATTTTTTTCATGTCAATATCTATATTTAGCATGTTATTTCTATCGAAAAGTTACAAGCCAAATGAATACTTTTAAATCTTAATCATTAGACAATCAGACAACTGAACAATTAGTGCTTGTATTGTATTGTATTATTATTACAAGTATATATTGGTGGGCTTTTTACTTGAATGTTGTCGCATCTGATTTTGGTGCTAATAAATAAAATAAGTTAGGCTCGGGGTTTGTTAAGCGGATAAATAAAACCAGTCCCTCTGGTTTTAATATTTACTAAAGCTGAATTTTCTACATATTCATTATGCAGGTATTGTTATCTTTTATATTAGTGCAATGGCTTACATATTGATTTGGATTTTCAATTGTAAATGGAAGATTTTGAGTGCGAATACTTTACTAGCTATTACCTTAACTGTAGCTATTATGTTGATTCATACTACGTACTGTATTAGAAAGTGATAACTTTTTTGTAATGTATTGTAGTATTTTTCACCTGTGCTTTTATATTTTCCTTATGCTTGCTTTTATATATTTCAAGGATGCTTACTTTCATTATTCATATTGCAGGTATTCAATATTCATGCAATATGGTATCAACAAGATGCAAGAGGATTTGACATTGTTTTTCAGTGACAAGCATTTCATAGTATTTTTATTGGATGTTATTAGTATGTTTTAAAATCGTTTGTAATTTTTGTTGAATATTGTTGATATAATCCGATACTATGTGGGAATATTGTAATTTCATTAGGTATGATTAATAGTATGTGGTTGATATAATTCGCCTAAATGGCTAAATGTTATCATTTTTATTGTCAATTTGAAAAACTAAACAAAAGTGTTGTAATAGTGATTGTAAAAATAAAAAGCCATTTCAGTTATTCAGTAAATCAATTTATAAAACATTTTCCACCCTGTAATGAAATTTGTATTCAATCACGGTTAATCATTACCACCCATATTGAATGCCTCGGTCATGTACATAACATTCTATAACGGGTAGTATATTAACCGATATAAAAAACTTTCAATAACGGTTCTGTTGCCCCATATGAAAAGTACTGTACTTTTTATGTCGGCTGGATCTATAACGGGTCTACAACCGACATTAAATGTCAATTTTAACCGACATAGAAAGTGTTTTTTCCACTAGTGAATTAACTTAATTAATGCATTATAAAAATCATAACACTATTTTTAATAGAATTCACAATTATAAATTAGAAGTTCAAGGGGGTGTTTGGAACTGATTCTGATTTTGCTTCTTTTTTAAAGCAGAGACAGAATCATAATCAGTTTCCAAAAGCTGGTCTCCCCTAACTTCTAAAAAAACTGTTTCTCGAAGTAAATTAGAACACTAGAAGTACTTATGCATTCTGCTCCCTGAAAAAGTAAAAATAGTTTTAAGAATCAGATCCAAACACTTGATGACTCTTCAATATGTTAAATGAAGTGTAGTAGAAAAAATAATGGATATAATTTGAAAAACACATAACATAATGCGAGAGTGGTGTTGTATGTGGAGAAAGTTCAACGTGATATGTCAAATAATATTGTCAACAAAAAATTTGAGTTTTACCAATTCAACATTCCTAAATTTCTTTCTATCCATATTAATAAAATTGGGTTATTGCATGATTTAAGTTTGAAGTCTATTTTGATATTTATACTTGGTCACATAATTAATGCCCCCAATAACAATTTTTTCTGGATCTGCCCCTGTCCATCGGCCGTCAACTTATCATTCATTGGCCTCATCAATCGTCGCTCAGGACCTTAGTCCTCACCATTCAACGAATAGTTTGTTCGTCATCAATCGTCGCTCAACACCTTCAAACTCATTAATGGTAGGCGAGCAATATTGCCCTCATTGTTAGCCGCTCAGCCTCTTGGCCCTCTGAAATCGTCGGTAAGCACTTCCGTCGTCCTCTATCATCGGTTATCGTCGGTAAGCACATATCACAATGATTGCTACTTTATGTAGCGCTCAATCAGTGAATTCCGTTCAAACTGATTTATTTAAGTAAGATCTTATATGAACTCTTTATCAAATCAGTCCGGAATACCATATATTGTTGATTCAAACCACTGCATTTAAGGAAGGAAATATTTTAAAAGCCTTGATTTGAGAAACAAATGTTGTACGGAGTAGTATTTAACTACATCAAATATACGAGTTTTTGTTAATTTTAAAAGCTATTATTTGAAAAAAAAGTAATACTCCCTCCGTCCCTAATAAAACTTCCAAACGGCTAGGCACACAGTTTAAGATAATGGGTATTGTATGGTGGAGAGTTGTGCAGAGGAGAGAGAAATGTGTAAGAAATATTGTGAACCGCAAAATCTTTACCAAAAAGGAAAAGTGGAAGTTTAATTTGGGACAGACGAAAAAGGAAATTTGGAAGTTTATTTAGGGACGGAGGGAGTAGTATTTAAGTAATTCATTTATCCAAATAAGTCATTTTAATTTTTAAAGATTGAATGTCACTAATTTTAAAGATAATGAATTTCTTGTTGGGCCTATCTCATTTATTCCCTTCAATTGTTGAAGACCTAGGAAGCACGAAAACTCTCCATGGCTCACGTTTCCACGTTTCGGAAACTCGGAAACTTCAAATTCCCGTTTCGGGGCCGTTTCCGTAATTAAGAAAAATTTGGAAACCCGTTTCACTATGTTTCGGAAACATCGGATTCCAATTTTTTTCTTTTTCAAAAGATTCTGTGGTGGAAAATATATTTCTCAGCGGCAACACTTGTTACATTTCGTAACGCAATGTATTGCTAGAAATGTATCACTCCGTACATTTTATGTTTAATTATGTACTAATATGAAATAATATCTAAATTCGAACATGTAGAGTGATTTTATTATTTGGTTACTAAACAAATTATATTAAAAAAACATGTGCATATGGAAAAACTTGTGTACATATATTAAAAAAATATTTATAAATATATCCTTATATTTTATAATATCTACGCGTTTCCCCCACGTTTCGTGTCCTATATTTTTTTAGAAATTACGTTTCTCGCGTTTCCCGTTTCCCGTTTCCGTGCTACTTAGTTGAAGACCCATTAAGTCATTTGACTCTTCACTTAGTCAAAGGATGTGATCTGAAAATAGAGCCTGCGGTCAAGGAAGAGATCAGCTAACAGAAAAAAGATAAACAGATAAAGGAGAGAAACATTTCTGGGCAGAAATTCTGCTGCTCGCCCAACTTCATAAAAATCACGATTGGGAAGGCATACGTGGTCAGATTAAGCTGAAATTTTGACTGGAGATTCCCAAGACACAGACCTAAATTCTGAATGGTTGAGATTGGATTTTGACGGTCGGATCGTCTGAAATCATTTCCGAACAGACCTACAGTTTTTATGGTGATTTCAATCCTTTTTCATCCTCTTTGTATCTTTGTTGAAGTTGTATACTTCTTGAGCTGTTGTATTATCATATTTGATGTTGGGAGACTCTGGTGTACTCATTCCTTATTGATTAGTGAAGAGTTTGGGTGGACGGAGGTCCTGTGATTTTTCCTCTTCGGTTTGGAGAAGTTTTCCACTTATAAATCATGGTGTTCTGTGTGTGCTAGGTTTTATTTCATTTTTACAGCTTTCTCCATGTATGTTTTTGATGTCATTCACTGCTACCAGCTATTAAATCGGGATCCTGTGATTTTCTTGCAAGCTTGGGAGAATATTTGTCAAGTATATTTGGACTGTTTTGTGTTTGTGGTTGAATTACTTTGACAGACAGTGTATTTCTTTCCTACACTTCTTACTACTCAATCAAGGATATACCATTTCTGTTAATTTTAAAAGCTTTGATTAAAAAAAATCATGATCATCATTTATGTAATTTGTATATCCAAATCTCTCATTTATTCGATAAAAACGTAATAGCTCGGTGTAGAGGATCCTCTTGTGCACCACCCATTGGAGCCATGTTTAGGGTCTTTTGCAACCCATTAAAAAGTGCTTTTAACTTTTTTTTAAGAAAAAAGCACTTATTTTACCAAACACTACCAACTTTTACTTTCTCGGCTTTCGTGTAAAATCTACTTTTTACTTTTTCTATTACACAAAAAGCACTTATTTTACCAAACACTACCAACTTTTACTACTAATCACTTTTTTCCCAAAAGTGCTTTTATTTAAGCAGAAGTGGTTGCAAACAAAGCCTTAAAAACTGTTTTGGGGCTCAGGGGCTGTGTAATAGACTAATATTAAATTAGGAATCTTATGTATCTTTGGAAACTCTTTTCAGTATAAATATATCTGCCAGGTACCCTATTGAGTAACCTTTCCCATTATTTCACATGGTATCAAGAGTCTAAATTTTTCTCTCTCTCCCAAAACCTTTTTTTTTTCGGCCATGAGTTCCGCAGCAGAATTTTCCGCCGCCATCTCCTCCTCTTCAATGGCAGCCGCTACTGCTTCTTCTTCATCCTCAACGACGGCGCCGGTATCTGCCACCTTTACCGACGCGGCCGTCATCATCACCAGCGCAGCAGTTAATCTGACCGAGCCGCCGCAGTTCTCTTCATCCGGAGGATCGGTTGTGCATCCCTTGCCTTCTCCTCTCACGACCGAGACCCAAGGGACTTATTCCCTCTTTCACGCTATTCCTTCCACTTTCCCATGGCAAACCCCAGTTCTGCCTAACATCCCAGGCAGTTTCTTCTCAACCCCACTCCCTGCGTCAACACAACCAACCCCTGGGTATTATGGTTCTACTTTTTCAGGAGCACCCGGCCTCTCTCGGCCACCTGATAATTCACTATTTCAGTCACAGATGGCTATGGTTGCACAATCCATTACCCCGGCTAACAATGTTACTCAAATTGTCACAATTGAGCTTAAAGCAGTGGAGGACTATATCACGTGGCGCACTCAGTTTGAATCTTTCCTTGTGTCTCAAGGTGTGTTTGGTTTCTTAGATGGCTCCATTCAGGTACCTTCCATGTACACGGTTGATTTTAACAATCACCAAATCATTAATACTGACTATTATCATTGGCTACGAGTTGATCAAACAATTCGCTCTTGGATTTTTGCTACTCTTACTCGTGATGTATTAATTGATGTACATGAACTTAAACACGCTTTTGAAATCTAGGAAAGATTGCAAAATCGTTTTCGTTCTGCTAGTCTGGCTAGATCTATGACCCTGAGGCGTCAATTATCTAATATAAAAAAGAAGGACCATCAGTCCATGGAAAATTATTTAAGGGAAATACATGTTTTAGTTGGTGAACTGGCTGCCATCAACTCTCCTGTGTCCAATAAAGAAGTCCTTCAAACCACTCTAATGGGACTTGGACCGGAATATGAGTCCACTTTGGGAACTATTTCCCTATTTCCTGATAATTTTCCGCCAGACATTCTTCACCGCAGTCTTTTGGAGGCTGAGCAACGGGTTCTTTATCTTCGTCAACAAAACACTCCACCTACTTATCATGCCTTCGGAGTACAAGACCGAGATGTTGCACCACGTGGAGGCCGGGGTGGCCGCGGCAGGGGTGGCCGCGGTAGAGCTGGCCGCGGTCGAGGACGAGGTTACCAACAGTACGGTCAGCAGCCGGCTCCACCATAGGGACAACAGCCAGGTCAGCCGCACGTACAGCAGCCTGGACAGCAACCCGGCATGCAACAGGAACACCAGCAGGGGTTCGGCCAACAATACGGGGTCCAGCAACAATTGAGATTTCCAATTGCAGGTGCTATGAGTAAATCGGTTTTGTCCACTTTAAATACTAATGCTATATCACTTTGTGGTACTAATGTTAAATCTGCAGGCTCCCCATCTGCTGAGGGTATTCTTGGGGCAATTCCTCCACCTGTTGTCTGTCAAATATGTTTTTCTGCAGGTCATTCTGCAATCCGATGTCCTTCCCGTTTTTCTCCACCCACTGCACCTGTTCTTCTCACCGGTCAGGCTAATGAAGCTCTGTGGTATCCAGACACTGGTGCCTCTGCTCATATGACCTCCTCTGAAGGTATTTTGACAAATAAATCTCCTTATTCTGGTCCAACTATAATTAGTGTTGCTAATGGTGATCAACTCCCTATAAAAAATGTTGGTGATATTTCTTTAAATTCGTCTGGCCGCCCTCTACTTTTGAAATCTGTTTATCATGTCCCGAATATTAAATTCAATTTAATTTCAATTCAAAAATTATGTGCTGATAACAACTGTGTTGCTATTTTTGACAAAAATTCCTTTTTTGTTAAGGACAAAATTTCGGGGGCGGTTCTTCTTCAGGCAACAACTAATGGCGATCTCTATCCTCTCAGCCTGAATTCACCATCTAGCCTAGCTTTATCTTCAGTTCTCACCACTAGCCCTGTGTGGCACCGTAGATTAGGACACTGTGGAGAAAATATTTTACGCATTTTAAGTAGTCAAAAACGCATATGTAATAGTTCTAGCTTTTCTCATGACTGTATTTCGTGCCGGTTAGGCAAGTCCCAACGATTACCTTTTTCAGATGCTATTCACACTTCTTCTCCTTTGCAATTAATTCATTCGGGGATGTATGGCAGTCTCCTGTTTTGTCTAATTTGGGGTTGTCTGCTTTATTGATGATTTTACTCGTTTTACATGGATTTACCCCTTACGTACAAAAAATGAGGTTTTTGACTCCTTTAAAATTTTTAACTCTTTAGTTGAAAATCTTTTCAACTGTCGAATTAAAATCTTTCAAAGTGATGGAGGGGGTGAATTTGTTAATTCTAATATGCAGCAATTTTTTAATTCTCATGGAATTTATTTTCAAAAATCATGTCCCCATACTCCTCAACAAAATGGACTAGCTGAGCGCAAACATCGTCATCTACTTGAACTTACTAGGACTATGCTTATTGAGGCATCTCTTCCTAGTCACTTTTGGGTTGATGCGTTATTTACAGCTGTATATATTATTAACAGATTACCTACTCCGACACTTTCTGGTCTCTCTCCTTATGAAAAACTTTTTCAAAAATCTCCCGATTATTCTCTTTTACGTGTTTTTGGGTGTGCTTGTTTTCCAAATATTGATGCAACATCCTCTAATAAACTTTCTCCTAGATCCATTCAATGTGTCTTTCTAGGATATGCATCTGACTATAAAGGTTATCGTTGTTTTGACCCTACTACTGGCAAGGTTTACATCAGTCGTCATGTGCGTTTTTGTGAAAATCTTTTTCCCTACATCACTTTGACTTCTACTACGCCTGCCACACCATCTTCATCTACAAATGAGTCTACCCCTTTCTTTCTCTCCACCTGGGACAATTCACCCTCTAATCCCTCTCAGCCTACCTGCCCCCAGTCCGTACCCAACCCCCCAGACCATGCCCAGCCCCCTGTCACCACACCTGCAACCCAGTGTCCTCCCAGCTTACTGCCACCCACCTCACCGACCGCTCCTGCCAGCCCCACCCAAAATCTGCTTCCCTCCTCACCTAGCCCGATTCCCATTTCCTTACCACCGGACCATGTCCGCACACCAGCCCAAATACCTCTCAATAGCCCACTTCCAATGCCCAACAATCATTCCACATCTGCTAGCTCCCATTCTCCTCCCAGTCCGTTTTCTTCGACCAGTGACCATTCCCCTCAAACAGTCCCTGTCTCGACCCAGACTTCCCCCAAAAATGTCCACCTGATGCAAACTAGAGCCAAATCAGGAATTTTACTTATGTTGTGCATCTGGTTTCTCAGTTTATGCATGCTCCCCGTACCACTCACCTTTTTGCTGTCAAGAGGATTTTTAGATATTTGCAGGGTACTATTGATCATGGTCTATGGCTTCAGCCTACACCTAAGGCGACTTGTATTATGGCCTACTCAGATGCTGATTGGGCTGGATGTCCTGACACTTCTCGTTCCACGACCGGTTTTGCTATTTTCCTAGGACCCAATCTTGTCTCTTGGAAGTCCAAAAAGCAACCCACTGTCTCTAAATCCTCTACAGAAGCAGAATATCGTGCGATTGCAAACACAGTGCAAGATACACTTCATATACGGTCTATCCTATTTGAGCTCGGTTTCCCTGTTCACGCACCGGTTCGTTTATTCTGCGACAACATTTCTGCTTCATACTTGACAGCAAATCCTGTTCAGCATGCTCGGAGCAAACATATTCAAATTGATTATCACTTTGTTCGTGAACGTGTGGCTCATGGTGATCTTGTCGTTAAATATGTGCCCACCAGTCTTCAGTTAGCAGATATATTTACTAAGAGTCTTTCTAGTCAGCAATTTCATTTTTTAAAAGACAACCTGCGCATTGTATCTCCCGCACAGTTTGAGGGGGGTGTAATAGACTAATATTAAATTAGGAATCCTATGTATCTTTGGAAACTCTTTTCAGTATAAATATATCTGCCAGGTACCCTATTGGGTAACCTTTCCCATTATTTCACACTGTGAAGGATGCCATCTTTTGAGCAATCTCACTTTACGTGTGAGGCGATAGCCCTAGTATCTCGAACCGCTTACGGAAGAGCTTGTGTGAATCAAGCACCTAGATTCAAAACATAGCAAATGTGAAAACAATGTTAGCACTTTTAAAGAACAGAGTCGTACTCCGTTTTTCAACATAGGACTTAGATGTTTTTTTGGACTGTAATTTCCTGGTCTAGTCTAGTCTGGTCTGGTCTGCTCTGTTTAAGTGTGGTCTGGTCTGGTCTGAGTTGGTAAATGTCTAGTCTCTGTGTATTTTATAATTATCCTAGTCTGGTCTAAGCTGGTAAATGTCTGGTCTCTGTGTATTTTATAACTGTCCAAGTTGGTATGGTATGGTCTGTTTAAGTCAGGTCCAGTTTGATTTGTTTAAGTCTGTCTGGTCTGATCTAGTCTGATCTGATCTAGTCTATCTAAGACTGAAAAGAGCCCAAAAGAAAACATACCATACCATACCATCTCCGACTGACTTTAGTTTGTTATTTGTCCCATAAATAATGTTGTGAGGTTTTTCAACATAAAGACTGAATTTAGCCGAGAGTGGGTTCGACTATTTTTGAAATAAAAAAGATAAATATGCTAAAGTGAAAATCTATAATTCAAAAAAAGAAGGCGTGTGACATAAATGAAACTCAACGATTAAAAGTGATCCAAATGCGTAATTTCCACTTTTTTTAAGCGTACATTTGGGTAAGGTTGCGGGATTCCCATACATGGAAACCCCCATAACCCCCAGCCCACCCACCTAATTTAATACTGGTGAGTCATACTTTCGTCTCTGCATATTCTGCTTTAGATTTTTTTGTTCTCTGGTTCTATATTCCCAATTCTCATCTCATTAGTGCTCTCAAACTTTAATTTCCTTCGACTCTTCGATTCTCAAATAATTAATATGAAAGCTTCAATCTTCGTAATAATAGGCTAGGTTGCTTAGTCTATTCATAGGCATCCAACAAACCTAATTTTTTTATCATGTTTCTCTGGCAATCAAGAACTCAGGATCCTTCAAAAAGAGTTGATCAATTGAGCTACAAAAAGAGGTATGCACATGTCTATTGTGTTAATACGACACTTAATTGGCTTACAATTTTATTCTTTTCTTAAGTGTTCATTTATTTCATATAATTCAGAATTTTTTTCCTTCTTTGTATATATCAATGGATTCACTTGACGTTTCTCTGATGAAGTCTTACTCTTTTCTTAAGTTTTCATTGATTTCATATAATTCAGGAATTTTTTTTCTTTGTATTGACCAATGGATTCACTTGATGTGTCTCTGATTCAGTTAATTTAATCTTAGAAACACTAGACACACCCAGCCTTGGAAATCTTACCCCCTCGAAGTATCACCCCCCCCCCCCCCCCCTCCCCTCCCTCGTTCAAGTCAATGATGTTGAAGTAGAAAAAGGATCTTCACGGAAAAAGAAATCTTATCTTTGGAGTCATTTTACACTCATTCCGGGGAGGGATCCAAAAGACCCTAAGTGCTCTTGCAACTATATATTGTGGAACACAATACAAATTTCACAGTAGGAAACATGGAACTAGTATTATGAAAGTTCATTTTGGGCATCAATTTAAAAAGATAAGTCTGATAAGCCGAATAACCAAACGGGCTCGGTATCGTTCATCGTTTATAAAAAGATACTACGTATAATGTTAAATTGAATTCGTTTATAAAAAAAGATGAGGAGAAAAGATAATACGAAATCACTCCTCCACCCGAATACCCGCCCTCCACTTTGCTCTCTCCAAAGCCATACTCTCATCCAACCCAAGAAGAAGCATATCACTTCGGACTCCCCTAACCCACGTCTGTTTAGGCCTTCCTCTCCCTCTCTTCCCTGCCTCTTCTCCACACATCTCAACTCGTCTGACAGGTGCATCACTCGGTCTTCCACGCACATGACCAAACCACCGTAGGATTTACAATGTTCTGCCAAGTACAATGTTGAGGGTGAAGGATTTACAATGTTCTGTCAAGTAATGCAGCCAGATTTGTTATCCCTTTTCTTATGACTGTCGCTAGGGATGTACATAAGTTATTTTCTGGTGAAAAGGAAAAACTTCAGGCTAAGTTAAACAAGGGAAACAAGAGAATGTGATTTACCATTGATTGTTGGACCTCTTTGCAAAATATAGACTATATGTTCTTAACTGCTCAATACATTGATGCTAAATGAAATTTATGTAAAAAGTTTTAAACTTTTTTCAAATTTCTAAGTCATAAGTCGGAGTTAGTTGGTAAGGTCATTGAGTCTTGTTTGCATGATTGGGGCATTAAAAGAGTTTGGCTAAAGGGTCAAATAGGCCCCTATACCCTTTTGGATTGAGGTTATTTTTAGATACCTCCGCTAAGTTATGCATATTTGAGTATTTGACACTTAGAGATAGGTTATCCATATATTATTGAAGTGCCCCCTAATCCCTTATCCTATCACATCTCAAATATATTAAAGAAAATAATTGTAAAACCTTATTAAAATGTCAATACCAATGTTGCGGGGGAACCACAGTCTACAAAGGAAACTACTCCATGTCTAATACAAATAAAAATGTCATATTTATTAGGAAAAGTGGACATGAATAATCCGAACTATTAGTGATCTGCTTGAAATAATCTAGGGTATCAATTATCTCAAAATAATCCCAACTATTTAAAAATCTTCTCAAAATACTCCGGTGACTTATAATTATCAGTAAATAACTTATAATATTTATGAGTAAGTGGAGTATTTTGAGAAGATTTTCAATACAACAACAACAACATCCAAGCCTTAGTCCCAAAAGATATTGGGGTCGGCTAACATGAATCAATACATGATATCACCACCAAAAGGAAAAGAAAGAAAATAAAGATAAAAAAAGATAAGCTATTATAAAATGATAATATAAAAAGAGATTATACATAGAAATGATAAAATAAAAAGGATAAAAATAATGTTTATATATAAGGATAAAAGGATAAAAAACAAGAAAAAAAGATGAGGGGAAAAGATAATACGAAATCACTCCTC